AGAAAATGCACACATATCCACAAACATGAGCGCGCACATACATGCACACACATTTAAATGCACACACATTCACTCACACAAAAATATAAACAAAAGCACATACATACAGTACATATTCACACACACAAACATGCAAACGAAACACACATACTCACAAATGCACAAACACATTCGAATGCACACACCTACACATTCACATGTTCACACAAACATGTACACACATACACATACAAAAATGAACACACAAACACATGCATACACATGTCCATCACCCGTACACACACACATTCATGAACCTAAGAATAAGCACACGCACATAAACACACGCGCATACAAATGCACACACATGTACACACAAACATGCACACACAAAAACTCAAATTCACACACCTACACATTCACACACACACACAAACATGTACACACACATAAAATTTGCACACAACACTCACACACGAACTAAAAAAAAAATGCATATACACACGTACATACAAATGCACACACATCAACACACAAACATGCACACACACAAAAAACTTAAATGCACACACCTACACATTCACACACAAACATGTACACACACAAATTTACACACACAACACACACACACATGTCCATCACCTGTACACACACATTCATGAATGCAAAAATAAGCACACACGCATAAATACACACCGCACATACAAACACGCACACATATACACATACACACACTTACACACACAAACTAATATGCACACTCCAACACATTCACACACAAACACATTTGCACACACAAACCAAAAAAAGCACGCAGTTCCACACGCATATACACACACATGCATTTACACAAATACATACACACAAACATGACATGCACAAACATGCACACACACACATTCACACACACACAAATGCACCTAAACACAACAAACTAGACCAAACAGTCCAGCCCTCATCGCCCAGAATAGCCTAAAAAGCACATTATTCTTAGTACGTCTGCACTGAATGCTGTGAGTGGTATCTGTCACCCGTGAGTGTCATCAGAGCGTCACAGGCACTGCGTCTGACTGATGACTGAGCCAGACCAAATTAAAACTCGCTCAACGGCTGCAATGAGCCATCCAGCTCTACTGCAGCATGACAATATGGCTCAATCTGAGGCACCTATGAAGTCACCCAACAGAAAGTCAGTACAAAAACAGCGCTGCTCTCACAGTGAGTCAGATCTCTGAGAAAGCATTAGCGGCTGAGGATAAATAGAGGTAAAGCACCTCTGCTTCTCATATCTGTGTGTCGCGTGAAAGAAGAAAGTCATTCAATTAGAAGCCTTAGACATGGTTTGTATCAAAATATAGATGTGAGATTTGCATGCACAGTAGGATCATTTAAATTGAATAACTGATGATGCATTTTGAGATTTTACCATATTTACAAGCTTGATTCAAACATATTGATGTAAATTTAGACTATTTTAGACATTTAAAATGTTAAACTTAGTATTTTACAAATTTGTGTAGAAGGGCTGTATGGTTAATCGAAGGCAATTTTTCGAGTGCATTTTGTCAATAAAGCCGGTTCTCTTATCTCCAGCATGCAATTTTAGATGGAGTAGCATTTACTACAGAGAGTCGTAGTTCAAATAATCAAAGATAATTGTTGTGTGATAATGACGGCTCCTTGCATCAGTTCTCATTGAACTACCAGCCCAATCTCAAAAGAAAAGGTAACAGTTTTATGTATTGTCTGTAAAAATGGTTAATTTAATTGATGAGGAATTACCAAATTGGATTTGTGCATTTACAAATGTGTTTTGAATTTACAAATGGATTTGTACATTTACGAATCGAGTTTTGAATTTACGAATTGTATTTGTGTATTTACGAATTGTGTTTTGAATTTACAAATTGGATTTTTGTATTTATGAAACGAGTTTTGACTTTCTTTATTGGATTTGTGTATTTATGAATCAGGCTTTGAATTTACAAATTAGATTTGTGCATATATAAATCGTATTTTAAATTTACAAATGGATTTGAGGATTTACGAATCGAGTTTTGAATTTACAAATTAGATTTGTTATTTTTATGAATCGTGTTTTGAATCTAAAAATTGGATTTGTGTATTTACGAATTGAGTTTTAAATTTACCAATTGGATTTGTGTATTTACGAGTTGAGTTTTGAATTTACAAATTGGATTTGTGTATTTACGAATTGAGTTTTAAATTTACAAATTGGATTTGTGTATTTACGAGTTGAGTTTTGAATTTACAAATTGGATTTGTGTGTTTACGAATTGAGTTTTAAATTTACAAATTGGATTTGTTTATTTATGAATCGTATTTTGAATTTACAAATGGATTTAAGCATTTACGAATCGAGTTTTGAATTTTACGAACTGGATTTGTTTATTTATGAATCCTGTTTTTAATTTCTAAAATATATTTGTGCATTTACGAATCATGTTTTAAATTTATAAACAAGATTTGTGTATTTATGAATCTTTTGAATTTACAAATTGTATTTTGGTATTTACAAATTGTGTTTAAATATATGAATTAAATTAGTGCATTTATGAATCAGGTTTTGAATTTATGAAATGCATTTGTGTAATCACGAATTGTGTTTTGAATTTACAAATAGATTTGTGGATTTATGAATTATGTTTTGAATTTACAAATTGGATTTGTGTATTTATGAATCGTATTTTGATTTTACAAATGGATTCATGCGTTTATTAATCACGTTTTGAATTTACGAATTGGATTTGTTTATTTACGAATCGTGTTTTGTATTTACAAATTGGATTTCTGCATTTACGAATTGTGTTTTGAATTTACAAATGTATTTTGTGTAAATCCGAATCGTTTTTTGAATTCAGGAATTGGATTTTTGCATTTACGAATCATGTTTAAATTTACGAAATGAATTAGTGCATTTATAAATCAGGTTTTAAATTTATGAAATGGATTTGTGTCATCAAGAATCGTGTTTTGAATTTCCAAATTGGATTTGTGTATTTACGAATCATGTTTTGAATTTACAAATTAGATTTGTGTATTTAAGAATCACGTTTTGAATTTTCTTATTAGATTTGTGTATTTACAAATCGTTTTTGAATTTATAAATTGGATTTGTGAATTTACAAATTGTGT